CAAATACTAGTTTTAAATCACTAAAAACAAGTTGATCAGGTTATCCTAAGAGATAGACTCTGAAATTTTAACCGAAAATTCAATTCCTAGAACTTAGCATAACCACAAATTTTCAGCCCCAAAATCAAAGTATGCTATTTTATAAAGTTCGAGCAAGTTTATAGCAAAAACGAGCATAAATTAACAACCAGACCAGAAGAATGATTCACACTCTGGAATTTTTATCTAAGGAACCTCAGCATGTGAATAGCATTGTGTAAAGATCTCAGCCTTAAAAACTTAACATGTGAATTAATAACATTGCTATAACATTCAGCAGTTTTCGCATTTTAAATAAAACTGAAATATTTTGATCTCAAAAAATTTTAATATTTTAACAGCATGAATTTACATATTAAACAAGCATCTCAGCCAAAAATCAAAATTTTCCAGCAACTAACCAATTTATCAAAATTAAAACACTATTCAGCAGAAACCGTAAGCAAACTATTTACCCTATTAATATCAATCCCAAAATTCTAAAAATTTTACACAGCAACCAAATCATTCAGATTGACAACACATTAAAATTTCATGAATTTTGGAGCATTACACAATTTATTATGAATTAAACATGAATCTGACCAGAAATTACTATAATTTTTAAAAATAGCAACAGACCTCCGAAAAATTTGAAATTTTTACACAAGCTACATAATGACCAGGGGCAGATACAGTAAAAATATCATAGCGATCGGATCAGTATATAATTTTTCATGAATTTATCAAAATTCAGCAGTTTGTTCGGTTTCGAAAAATCATATAAGACTCGAAACACACCAAATTCGTCCAAGGCCTTCGCCATGAGGCCAAGGACTCGACAATGTTCCATTATCCACAGTCCTAACATGAATTCGATGGGATTTCACACGATATCACATTAATCGAATAATCCCTACATAAAGGCATAGTATATGACCCTAAACAACGCGATATCATCAAAGCTCGAAAAACATATATAAACGAGAGGGGAATCGAGCTTCTGTACCATTCTCGAGAGTAGTTCGCGAAAACGAACAAAATGGTAGTCGAGACGGGTTGTTCGGAGGCCGGGAGCACGCCCGTCGGGCTCAACGACAACGGCTAGCGGGGGTGGCTTGTTTGGCAACAGAAATAGCCTGCTGGGACCTAGCGATGACCAGGAAGGTGCCAGAAACAATCGCTGATGTTCCGGCAATGGACCACGGAGTGAAGAAGCTCGTCGGAGATGGTGGCCGTTGATTCTCGAAATGGTGGCAGCAACTGGTTTCTGCTTGCGGAGAAGATGACGGTCGCGAGCAGGGGAAGGTCGCGATGAACAGCCGCAGAGGCACACAGCGTAGCAGCAGGGCCGTTGATGGAAGGAGGGCTCACCGGAAAATGCAGGGACACGAGCGTCGATAAGTGGAAGCACGTCGGGAGCAACGCGGCAAATGGTCGCGATGAGCAACTAGAACATCGACCGAGGGTTTCGTCCATGGGGACTGCTCACTATGATGCTTAACAGTCCAACCTGAACGTGGTGGTGATGGTGATGATCGCATGACGATGATGATGATGATGATGATGACTTCACGCGAGGGCAGCAGGGCGGCTTTGTGCGATGGTGAAGGGCGGCGCTAGTTTGCTGTTCACGGCGGATTGATGGTGATGATCGACGGGACTAACTATGGTGATGGGAAAGAAAAACAGAGAGCGAGAGAAATATGGAGAGATCGATTCTCTTCTCCACGCGATTTCAAGAGAGGGAGAAGGATTGGATGTCTGCGGCAATCGAGAAACAAGAAAAAGGGAGAGAGAGAGAGAGAGAGAGAGAGAGAGAGAGAGACCTATATCCCTCTTATATCTTATATGGAAGAGTTAGGGAGCTTCAAACAC